AGTAGACATCTCTTGGCATTCTTATCTACAAAGCCCATTATCACATACTGTCATGTCATCTATTTTGAACTAATTTTTATAGATCTAGAAAAAATAATCTTTCAGTGTTTCCTAATTTGTGACATGGAGCAGTCAATATAACTGTTCTTCATCTCCAGATAACAGGATCTGTATAATTTAACTGCCATCTATTCATCGTCACTTAAGGAAACTAATTAGTAAAATCAGTGACCTCATTGCTCAGTTATCAGTGTTTACATGCAGTCTTGTGATCACAATTTTATGACATAAAGACATGAATGATAACCCTGTTTCTCTTGTACATAGTTATACAGTATTCATTATCCACCTATAATTGGAATCCATGGATCATATTTCAATATTTTGTGAAACTGAACTAAGTTTTTATACAGATTGATGAACACAGACTACCAGAGAAAAGTCTGTTTCTGAACCAGCAGTGCTTAGAATGCTCTGTCACTATGTAAGACAGTGCTGGAGTAGTCATTTCTCGATATGTCCTTTTAGAAATACAAAGAGTCGAAGTAACACATTCCTAATTCTCTGGTTAGAAAAATCATTTAATGAGAGCATTCTGGAAAACTTTAGTGGCTACTGATTGAGTGGGTAGAACCAACTCTTATTAAACATTTGATACCAAGATTTCCAACTGACAATATTCTATGACATATTCCTAACTAATTCCTCCAAGAATTTATAAGAATCCTTCATCTTTAACAAACTCCATAGCTATTTGGCACTGCAACAAAGTTTTGAATGTTGAATTCCTTCTCATATTTCAGTATGACAATTAAGGTAAAGGGACATCTGGCATTCTTATCCACAAAAATCCATCAACACCCTGTCATGGACATAGTTTGAACTAATTTACTGGAAGTCTAGAGTAAAAGAATGTTTCAATGTTTCCTAATTCACGAAAATGGTCAACACAAATGTTCTTGTTCTGTAGATATAAATACCTGCATCATGCAACAGCACTCTATTGTCACTTAAAGAAACTAATTGGTAAAAGCCACAATCTCATTCTTCCATATAAGTGTTTACATGTAATCTTGTGAGAGTAATTTTTATGAAGAAGGACATGAAAGACAGGGTAATCCTGTTTTACTTGATAAATTTTATATGGTATTCACTATCCATCAGCTGGAATCCTGGATTACACATCTATCTTTTAAGAGATTGAACTAAGTCCTTATAAAGGCTGATGAACATAGACTAACAGGTAAAAGTTTGTTTCTGAACCTGCAGTGTTCAGAGCATTATGAAACTCTGTAAGGCCATAACGCCAGAGTAGTCATTTCTAGATAACCAATGACACCTATTTGCTTTTAAGAACCCAAAGATGTAACATTCCTTGTGGTGAAAAAGCATGTATCCATTCTGGATAAGGAATACAACTTACACTCTCAAATAAATTTATTATTAAATCCCAATGAAGAGTTTAGATTTTAACCAGAGATTCAGAATTCCATACCATGTCATCACTTGACTTTATTCACACTTCAAAAGGTACCGTAAATATTACTAGGGACTCCATGTGACATTTCTACAACCATGACCATCGCAACACTACTCACAGTAGACCAAAGGTAGAAATCATGGAAATGTCCATCAAATGATCAAAGGATATAAAAGATCCACTGTAAACAAAATATTGTTTTCTAATGTAACCAATTAGAATTTTAAAATGTAATCAATCTGACTACTTAAACAATTTTATGAGTTCAGTCCATTCCTTCTATAAGGGTTAGCAGATTTGCATTGGTAGTAGCAAATAGTATCTGTATAAATACAGAAAACATACTTATCAATGAGACTTGTCTTATTAGGCAAAATATTTTCCCAATCTCCTAGCAAGATACAGAAACACCTTCTCAGTGTGAAAGAGATTAAGAGACTGACTTACTGAACTTGGTCTTATCAGATTTTTGCAGCTCTTCAATACTGCCAGCATGCAGTTTGACGATATCTTTCATTTCCAAAATTTCAGACTGAAGCCTACAATGTACATGGAAAATATTTTCACCCATCAATCTAAGCATACACATAATTTCTGACTAAGCATCAGAAGGCAATATTGTGTAAATTCTTAAAATTTGAAAAGTACGGCCTGTTTCTTGTTGGTCCATGGCTACTGTGCTTTATGACTCGAAGCTAGTTTGCATAGTACCCCTTGAAATGTATGTTCAGGATAATCTTGTGTCTTCTTTACATTTTCTACCATCCTTGGTTTAGATTTTCTGATACTTGGAACTGAAAACAAAGGATTAAAAAAAATTACAGCACCTGGTACAAACTGCTCACTACCTGTTTGCCATTAAATTTTATTGGAAATCACAACACTTCTTCATTTGCATATTGTTCATGGGCAACATTCATGCTGTAACTGCAAAGCTGACTTGCCAACAGACATCACTCGGTCCAATAACTAAAATAATATGATCTGGTCAAGAATTGTTCTTACTCATTTCGTATTTTGAAAAATTTTTGACATTTCAAAAAGGTGGCATGAAAATGAAAGTGGTCTTTTATACAAATTACACTTAACCCTTGATTTCACAATTTAAAAGCACTTGGGCCATCTTCTACTATTTTCCCAATGGGGAAGAAGGCGGCCCAGACTACTTCCCCAGTACTGCATAGAACTGTCAATGATTTCATTAGCCACCAGTGTTTTTTCATCTTATAATTTACTGATCACTTACTCTCTGCACTACTTCCTGGGTAATGATAATGGAAACAGGATTCCTAGATTGAGTAGCACATACCTAGTAGACCGTAAGACACAGACTCAAAGCACAGACCTGAAAATATTGGAATCAGTGGCTAAATGAAGTTTCCAAAATCAATTCATTCTTATGCTGCCTTACAAGCACTCTGTAGATAGCCTAACAGTATACACTTGGGCCTGTTAGTGAATCTGTAGCCAGCAGAAAAAAGAGCTATAAAACAATAAATCCCAGTTCTGGCTAGTTCATGAAAGAAAATAGTTAAGTTTTTTTTTCTTACTGAGTATAGACTGAGTTTTTGATAGATAAGTTCTCCTCTACAGCAATCAAGTGTTTTGATTTTATAATTTGTTGCTTAAAGGACAACTTTAAAAACTTTAAAAGCTTCACCTTAAAGCTTTATTCATAATGCTTATGTCAATGCCTCAAAGAAGAAAATTCAGCAGGTCAGCACTGTGGCACAGTGGGCTAAGCTGCCTCTGTGATGCTGGAATTCCAGCCCTTGCTGGTCCTCTTCTGACCCAGCTCACTGCTAATTGACAGGGAAAACAGCAGAGGATGGCCCAAGTGTTTAGGTCTATGCCACCCACATAGAGACCTGCATAGAGTTCCATGCTCCTTGCTTTGACCTGGCCAGCCCCAACAAATGTGGAAAGTTGGTGATTAGAACAACAGATGGAGGAAATCTCTTTTTCTTTCAGCTTCTCCCTCTATCTGAATTTTCCTTTCAAATAAATACATATTCAAAAAGAATAAATTTCTGAAATGATATAAATTGTTTATACTTTTAGTCTAACAATTGATAAGCTAAAATATTTTCAATCTACACAAAGATAGGTGGCATCCATGTCAGATAAAATCCCTGAGGAAAATTTATATTCAGACAAGATTATTTCCCATGAATAAAAATAAAGCAGTTTAAAAGTAAGGTCTATGCTGTTCCATAAAAACTAGATGACAAATATTGAAAAGTGTAAGGTCAAAATGTGACAGAAGGAAAAGCTTATTGACAAAAGGGAAATTTGGGGCTGGGTCTGAATAAATATCTTTAGGTGAACAGAAACAAAGACAGGACAGCATGAAGAATGGTGGAGAAATGAGAAAACAGGCCCAATTAACTCCAAGTTGGATTAAATCCAATGAAATGATTGAATGTGTCCATACAATAACTTGGAAATGAATGTCCATGGCAGCATGCAGTGGGAACATTCTACATGTCCATGCATTGATGAGCAGATAATTTGTACAGCAGACCTATACTCTGTTAGATAATAAAATGTTATTTAATACTAAAAAGAAGTACTGATAAATGTTATGCCATGGATGGATCCTGAAATTAGTATACTAAGTGAAAAAAGCCAGTCATAAAGGGCCACATACTGTAGGACTCTATGTATATGAAACGTTCATAGCAGGCAAATCTGGAGAAAAAACACTTCCCTTTGTAGGAAAAAGGAAGAAAAAAGGACTGAAGGAGTGGATGCATAAGTGACACAGAGTTTTACTTTATGGTGACTGAAATATTTGAAAACTGATTATGGTGATGGATATCCCACTTTGGGAACCTATTATGGATATTGAATTTTATTAATCTGAATGGTTGAAGTCTACATAGGTGAAATAGATGAGCAGTCATAAAAACATTTGTGCAAAAAGTAGGCTTAAGAGATGTCAGTTTCAAGGTAAAATGTGTGAATTCAATTCATACCTTATACATGCTGCACATATCCCCAGAAGTTTGTGAAGCACCACTATATCACAATAAATCAGTTTTTAAAACTCCAAAGGCAGGATATTAATAATTTTCTTAATTTTAAATTTTGTAAGTACAGACTACACATGATATGAATATTCCATGCATAAAGACGGACATTTATTATGTGTATAGATAACATATATTATACACACTTACAATGTGTATAAATAACATATATGTGAATGAGAAACAGGGTTTTCAATTAGACTGTAAAATATTTTAAAATGTGCATTTCAGCATAGTATAAAGTATTTTGAAAATTTATTCTGAAATACACAGGATCAATCAACATAGGTTTTGTATCCATTCACATAAGTGAAACAAGAAATGTATTTTTTGAGAATTCTGCTAAATTTTATCCTCTGATTCAATCTGCCTTGTTTTATCATGACAATTGATATCACTGAAAATATTGAGAAAAATGTGCATTTTCTGTGAAAAATGATATATATTCCTCAAGTTTTTAACAGTGAGTATTATTTTAATAAAGAATATAACAATAAATAGTGGATATCAGAGTTTAAGAAGTAAGTGCATAATGATAAAATTGTGCCAAGATTTTCATATTCAAATAAAGCAGGGTCTTATGATATTTGTATTTGGAAACTCTAAGCTCTAGAATTCTTATTGACATGCTAGATATCATACATACTTTTCTGACGATTTCATCTAACTTGTTCATTATATCCTGCATCTTGCTGTTTAACTTAAGGTAAAACTGTGCCATATCTCTCAGCGATGCCTCTGATTTACATTGCCTTTTCTCAATGTAATCCTGTTGCTGCTGCAGGTGTTTCATATCTACCTGATAAGATATGCATGTTAACATTTCATAAGTCACTTTATTGTTAAATAATGGTTATATTTCATTCAAAGATACATACAACTGGTCTGATTTTTGTGATGGCTTCACTTACAATTTTTCAACTTTAGGAAGGCAATTAAGTGATAAACATTCCCATAGGACACATACTTTGAATTCTGACCTTTTCCTGAGCTAGCAATATGCCACACTATTTTCTCTCAGGATGCTAGCCAGCAGTAGTGATTTGTAGCTCCCCGTCAACCACACAAACACAAGGACAAATGAAGAACACTCTAGAGTGTAACGTGCCACTAAGCTAGCATATTGAGGAAGTGCAGTATGTTACACACTTTATTAACTTGCATTTTCAATTTAGCAATGAGATTACCAAGGAATCACCATATCAAATGACAAGCAGCATCTGTGCTTTAGGTAATATCACCACATATATCACTTCACCTTCTTTTCCTCAATTGTACACATTTTTATTAATTGTTGAAATCAGGTAAGACAGAAGGTGTTATCTCCCTGCACAATCAGTAATGTATTAGCCAACACTCAGTTCTCTATCTCTGTCCTGATAAATCTGCAACACTTAACAACCTACTGAAGTATCACAGAGCAATGCGTATCTTGTATCTAGAGCTGGTATAATTCTACAGTGTTGAACTATTTTCCTCTTTTTAGTAACATCAGAATTCCTCACACAGTTAATTCTTCGCTCAAATCCTTTGAACAGATTTCTAATTTTTTAAAAAAGTAATTTCCAATAGCTTCTTAGGCCCTATGCAAATATTGCTTCTAGCTTCCTCCTGACCTCAGCACCTACAACTCTCTCCTTTGCTCTCACAACTGTGAATCATGAACTCTGCCAGCTTTCATGTCCCTGAAAACAGGAATCCAATGCCAAATTAACAATCCACAGACAGCTACAATTATCTTTGTACTGGAGAAATTATACCCATTGATAGGAACTCATCCTTGAAATAAAAATAAAAAGCAAATTATTTGTAAAAATGTTCAAACTACATCATAAATGCCAATGACAGAATTAAATCCAATGTAGATTTGGTAAAATTCCCCAAATCAAATCTGTAGCTTGCTTTAGGCAGTATAACCATTCCTTTTCTTTCTTTTTTTTTTTTTTTGACAGGCAGAGTGGACAGTGATAGAGACAGAGAGAAAGGTCTTCCTTTTGCCGTTGGTTCACCCTCCAATGGCCGCCGCGGCCGGTGCGCTGCGGCCGGCGCACCGCACTGATCCGATGGCAGGAGCCAGGTGCTTCTCCTGGTCTCCCATGGGGTGCAGGGCCCAAGCACTTGGGCCATCCTCCACTGCACTCCCGGGCCACAGCAGAGAGCTGGCCTGGAAGAGGGGCAACCGGGACAGAACCCAGCGCCCTGACCGGGACTAGAACCCGGTGTGCCGGCGCCGCCTGGAGTATAACCATTTCAATGATGTTAACTCTTCCATCTTTGCATTTTCTTGTGTCCCTGATAACTTCTTTCATTAGCATTCTGTAATTTTCATGTTAATTAACTATTTTGGTTAAATTTACTCCTACTATTTGAGGTTGGTTATTGTAAGTGGGATTTCTTTCTTGACTTATCTTTCAGTGAGTTCTACTACTGGCATGTAAAAAAGCTAGTTTTATGTATCTTGATTTTGGTATCTTCAACTTTACTGAGTTGTTTGATCAGTTCTAACAGCTTTCTGGTGGATTGTTTAGGTTTTCCCACGTACAAGTCATTTGGAAATATGGATATTTTGACTTATTCCTTTCTAATTATGATGTCCTTTCTTTCTCCTAATTGCTCTTGCTAATTTTTCCAACACTATATTGAATAAGAGTGAAAGTACTCAAACTTGTCTTGTTCCAGATATGATGGGAAAAGTTTTCAACTTCTCCCCATTCAGTATGATATACTGAGAGTTGATTTATCATATATAGCTTTAATATTTTAGGTATGGTTGCATCTATAGCTAACTTACATTTTTATGTAAGGATGCTGAATCTTATCAAATGCTTTCGCTGTGATGACTAAATGGTTTTTGTTCTTCATTCTGTTGATATTATTTGTTTATTGACTTATGAATGCTGAACCACTCTTTCATTTCTAGGAAAAATTCCACTTGATTGTGACATACAATCTTTTTGATGAGTGTTGGATTCACTTTGCTAGTATGTTGTCGAGAATTTTTGCATTTATATTCATCAAGGATAATAGGTCTGTAGTAGTCTTTTCATGTTGTGTCTCTGTTCAGTTTTGGAATCAGTATGATGCTGATCTCAAAAAGGGTTTGGCAACTACATCCTGTTCAATATTTTGGAATAGTTTGAAAAGTATTGGAGTTAGTCTCACTTTAAATGTATTGCAGAATTCAATAGTAAATCTATCAGGTTTTGAACTTTTCCTTGATAGCAGACTTTTGATTAATCTTTCAATTTCATTGCTTCTTATGGATCTCTTTAGGCTTTCTGTATCTGGAAATTAACCCATTTCTTTGAGGTTTTCCAACTTGTTAGCATACAGTTGCTCATAGAGGGAGAGATCTTCCATCTGCTGCTTCACTCCAAAAATGGTTCCACAAAGTCAACCCAGGACCAGGTGGAGGCCAGGAGCCAGGAACTCTACCCAAGTCTCACATATGGGTGACAGTGGCCCATTAAACTGGGCCACCTTCCACTGCTTTCCCAAGTGCGTTAGCAAGAACCTGGATTGGAAGTAGAGCAGTTAGGATTGATACTGCTATTCATGGGGTGCCAACATTGCAGGCCACACATTAACTTGCTGTGTCACAACACCAGCCCCAAAGCAGTTTCTTATGAGCCTTTGTATTTCAATAGTATCAGCTTTAACATCTACTTTTTCACCTCTAATGTTATTTACTTGAGGTTTTTTTTTTTTTTTTGTAATTTTGGTAGTTTGGCTAAAGATTTATCTACTCAAAAAACATACCTTTTTGTTCTGTTAATAGTTAATATTGTTTTTTGCTTCAACTTCATTTATTTCTGCTCTGATTCTTATTTATTGCCTCCTGCTAATGTCTGGTTTGTTCTTGATATTCTAAATCTTAAGATGCATACTTAGAACACATTTTGAGACCTTTTAAAAAAATATGGACATTTAATGCTATAGATTTCCCTCCTAACACTGCTTTTCCCTTGTGCAAATGGAAGGGGGCAATGTGCCTTCCCTTTTCAGAGCAACTTAGTCACTCAGATCCCAGTCAGATCCCTGGACTGGACTTGAAGTCAGTGGAGACTGTGAAATTCTCCCATGGCTAGGGCTGCTCACAGTGGGAGCCACAGCATCTTCTTCCTATCTTATCCCAGCAAGACAGTGTTTCCCAACCAGAAGTCAGTCACACAGATGCAAGGGATGTCCGGTGGCAGTCACTGATGACAGTGGTGTATCTGTTCTCTCCCCTAACTGCCTCAAGGAGTCTGTGTTCTGCCACTTCTCCACAGGAATTTCATTGCCCTGAGAATGACAGGCTCCTTTGTTCCAGTTACTGTGACTGTTACTGTGACCGACATTAGTGAGGCTACTCATTACTCAGTCATCTTGGATACACACTTGATTTTCTTTTTTAATGCAAAGCTTTCACAAAGTCAAGTCATGGATTTCTCCACTTTCTTTTGAATGATTTCCTCTTCCACAGATATGACCTTCTGAGCTTCTGAGTCTCCTGAAGCTCCGTTCAGATGTACACTCAAGTAGGTCAATTGGAGTCAACCAGACTCTGCCTCTATCCCAGTTCAGATCCACTGCTCCACAGCTGTGTCAATGAAATATCTCAACTTGGGTATTCTCTGGTAGAGGGACTCATGGGATGAGAACTTTCTGGAAAACTTACGTTCCACTGAGTTGAATGAAAACTGTTTCTTATTAAACTTTTGATTTATAGGGTAGATTTCAAAATAACTAATAATTCAATGACATTTTCTAACATTTATACAGGAATGTACAGGAAACCTCTCCTTACTTTGAAGCAGCTCACAGCTATTAGGTACTACAACCAATTTTTGAATGTCTAATTGCTTAACATATTTCTGTACAATTTTATAAAGGGATGCCTTGTGGCATTTTAAAAAGTCCCATAGGAACTGGCACTGTGGCAGAGAAGGTTAAGCCTCCATCTGCAGTACTGACATCCCATATAGGTGCTGGTTCAGGACCAAGGGGCTTCAATTCCAATCCAGCTTCCTGCTAATGCACCTAGGAAAGCAGCAGAAGATGGATAAAGTACTTGGACCCCTACATCCACATGGGAGATATAGAAGCAGCTCCTGGTTCCTGGGTTTGGCCTGGCCCAACCTTGGCCATTGTACCCATTTGGGAAGTAAACCAGTGGATGGAAGAGTTCTCTCTCTCTCTCTCTCTCTCTCTCTCTCCCTCCCTCCCTCCTCCTTCTCTTTCTCTATTTCTGATTTTCAAATAAATAAAATCTTAAAAAAGAAAAAGTCCCCTTACCAATATGCTTTCATTTCACATGTATAGAACTGAGTTCTTACAGGTCTAGAGAAAAACAATCCTTCAATTTTCCTAAGACATCCGAGAGATCAAACACCACAAATGTTCTAAACCAAACAAGCATGTGAATCTGTATAATGCAACTGCACTCTAGCTATTGTGCCTGAAGACAATTAATTAGTAGAAACAACTACTTCATTGTTCCATATTAGTGCTTCATACAATCTTGTGACCTTATACCCTACTAAAGGAAAACATGAAGGATAAGGGAATACTGTTTTTGTTATAAATAGTTGTAAAGCATTGACTATTCATCAATAAATTAGGATCCTAGACTACACAGCCATCTTTTCTGAGACTGACCTAAGTCAAAATAAAGGCTGATATAGATTAATGGGGAAAAAGTTGATTTCTTAATCTGCAGTGCTCAGGGCATTAGGTAACTTTACAAGGCCCTGCAGGAATAGTCATTGCTATGTATCCCATGATATTTCTTTCATTTAAAATACAAAGAGAAAAACATATTTCTTGGGGTTAAAAAGTCCACTCAAAGGCCTAGTATCCATTCTTGTTAAGAAATACAGTTTATGAGGTTAATGTTGTCACATAGTGGGTTAAGCTGATGCCTACACTGCTGGATCCCTTATGGGTACCAGTTTGAGTCCCATCCACCCCTCTTATGATCCAGATCCCTGATAAGGCTTCTGGGAAAGCAGAGGAGGATGGCATGAGAGCTTGGGCACGTACACCCATGTGGGAGACCTGGATAAAGCTCCTGGTTCTTGGTTAGAGGCTTCAGCCTGGTCCAGCCCTAGTTGTATTCTTTTGGGGAGTGAATCAACAGATGAAGCTTGCTTGCTCGCTCGCTCGCTCGCTCTCTCTCCCCCCTCTCACTCTGTGTGTGTGTGTGTGTGTGTATCTCTGCCTTTCAAATAAATCTTTTAATAAAAGAAATATAACTTGGGGCTGCGCTGTGGCACAGCAGGTTAACACCCTGGCCTGAAGCGCTGGCATTCCATATGGGTGCTGGTTCAAGACCCGGCTGCTCCTCTTCTGATCCAGCTCTCTGCTATGGCCTGGGAAAGCAGCAGAAGATGGACCAAGTCCTTGGGCCCTTGCACCTGTGTGGAAGACCCAAAAGAAGCTCCTGGCTCCTGGCTTCAGATTGGCGCAGCTCCAGCCTTTGCGGCCATCTGGGGAGTGAACCACCGGATGGAAGACCTCTCACTCTGCCTCTCCTCTCTCAGTGTAACTCTGACTTGCAAATAAATAAATAAATCTTTAAAAAAAGGAAATATAACTTACAACATCACAATAATTTAGTCTTAAAATCTCACTGCTTTAGATTATGAAAAATTCAGAATTCTAGATTGCATCGCTGCTGTCATTTCTTGGCATGCCAAAATATATTAACAATTAGCAGGGACTCCAAGAGATAGTTATTATCAATTCCCATAGTAGCCTTATACATAGTAGACAAAAGGTGAATGATTGACTTACTGAAATTAGTCTGAAAAGGATTTCCTGAAGATTTTTAATTTCCCTTGCTTGCTTTAGTATTGTATCTTTCAACTCACGATTTTCCTGATCATGCCTAAAATACATATTTTAAATTAATGATTCTCACAGATCAATTTAAGAAAATATATTTCAGAATAAATATCTGAAAGTGTTATTATGCAAATTCTAGAAATTTGAAGTCAATTTCTTGGCAAATATATCATTATTCTATGTTGCTTTGTCAATAATGCACAAAATTTAGGGATAATGTGCAAAAGCTATGCATTTCAAAATAGTTTAATGCTAAAAGTTTTCCATGCTTTACTCAGATGTATTTATGTTTAAAATGATATAATTCTCATAGTACATAGCATATATGCTTTAGAAAGACTCGAGTTATTTTGAATGGTTGTTTGAATTGTACTTTTCCAGATGATCTTGAATTTTCTCAGTGTTTTGTACCACCGCCTTTTGTTCATCTTCTGATTCTTGAAACTACAACAAAGAATAAAAAAAAAACATGATATTTACCAGTATCTGGTATGAATCTGGGAAGTACCTGGATTTATGACTAAAATTTCATTAGAACATAGCAATGACTCTTCCTTTTCATCTTATTCATGACTACATTTATGCTATAACTTCAAAGTTGAGTTGTGCCAACAGGGATGCTATGACCTCAAATCTAAAACAGAACTGTCTGGGCCATTACAGAAAGTTTATAGTCTTCTGCTCAAGAAAATGACACAGGAGTAGACTTGGTTTTGATTATGTTCTATCAGAAAAATTCTCAGATTTACAATATTGGCCAGTTAAAGGAATGGAAGATACCTTATGGAAAATAGCTATAATTTTGAAATCCAAGTACTATGAAATCAACTATAATTTTAAATATTCATATGTGCAAATGACCATTGGTATCCCAGAGATCATAAAAATTAACATGATGTTATAGACAACAAATGTTCAATGGAATTTTTCAGTGGCCACACCAACAATGAAGCCAGAGTGCCTGGATTCTGGCTCCACTATCTGTGTGACCTTCAGCAAATTCATTTGCCCTGTGTTAGTTCTTCACCTGTACAATGGAAATAATAGTGTCTACTTCACTTGAAAGTGGGAGGTATTAAATTAAAGGTATATGTAAAGAACTTCAAAGAAGATGTGTCACATAGTCAGGGAAATATTTCAATAGCATTATTATTATTGAATTCATGTTTGAATAAAATGACATATTTGGGAAGGGGAGCGTAGCAATAGAAGTGATCTCTTATAAAGTGGTACTGAATCCTTCATACCAAAGTGGCAGCAAACTAGGAGCATGAGGCCCAGAATACATTGCCAGCTCATTATAAAGCTTTCATTAATTTTATTAGCCACCCATCCTTTATGCAACTTATAATTTAAAAGTTACTTTTTTCTGTAAACTCAGTGGGCAATAATAATGAAATACAATACAAACAGGACTCCGAATTTGAGTAGCACATATCTTACATGGCCATAAAAATTGGCCTAAATGTACTAATGAAAAGACCAGACTCTATAGCTAAATCAAATTTCCCAAATCACTCTTCATTCTCAGGTTGCTCTAGCAAGCAATCTGAGGATAGAGTGATGCTCCATGGTTTGGTGTGTAAGAAAATGTATGGCTTTTCCACTGGTAAAGAGCTGTAAAGCTATGAGTCCCAGCTCTGGCTATGTAATAAAGGGAAGCAAACTTCAGATTTTATATTCTCCCAGTGAGTAGAGCATTAGTATTTTATAGAACAATTCTCCAGAAATAGGATTAAGTATTTGAATATTGTACTTAATTGCCTAAAATGTGTTTAGAAGAAAAGCTTCATTCATTCATTCATTCATTCATACACTCATAATGTTCCTGTCAGTGTCTCAAGGAACACAGATGGAATGGCATAAAGTACTTAATTTTAACTTAACTGTCCAACTGTAACATTTTCAATCTACACATTTATATCACATATGTCCACTTAGGCAAATTTACAGCACAACTGTCACCGTAGACAAATTATCTATTATGCAGATAAGTAAAAGCAATATAAACTTAAAGGCCACGTTATTCTCCATAAACTAGATGACAAGTACTGAAAAGAGAAAAATCAATGAGAACACAGAACATCCCATCAGTGAAAGGACCTTTGGAGTAGGGTCTGAATACAATGAGTACAGATCAACAGAAACTAAAACAGCAGTGTGAAAAAGGGGGGGGGGACTGGCCAGAGACACTCACTTTGCTGACGTCCACAGGCAGAGAAGTAAAATGCATATTCCATACATTAACTTGGAAATGAATGTTCATAGCAATAGCATTAATAATAGTCAAAAAATGGGAACAGTGTTCTATCAACTGATGAAATGTTTATCAACTGATGAATGAATAATTCCTACAAAGAACTGTATTCTGCACAGTACAATATTATTTGAAAAATAATAAGAAGTATTGATAGATTCTATACCATGAATTGACCTTGGAAATGTTAAGTGAAAGAAATCAGTCATAAAGGGCTGCATATTGTAGGAATGACCTTATTTAAATGAAATATCCACATCAGGCAAATCATGAGACACTAAACGTACATGTTTGGTTGCCTAAGGACTAGGGAAGAGATAGGAGCTAAAGGCAGGATGGGTGAATTATAGAAGGTTTTCTCTCAGGATGTTAAAAGCTGTTCTAAAATTGATTGTGGTGCTGGTTATCCAACTCTGGGAATATACTAAGGACACAGAGCTACACTTATTTGGATAGGTGAGCTCTATGGTGTTACATGAACTATACAGATAAGAGTGTTCAAAACAGCATTTTTAAAAGTTTGTGGAAGGTCCGGCACTGTGGCGCAGTGGGTTAATGCCCTGGCCTGAAGTGCTGGTATCCCATATGGGCGCCGGTTCCAGACCCGGCTGCTCCACTTCCTGTGCAGCTCTCTGCTGTGGCCTGGGAAAGCAGTAGAGGATGGCCCAAGTCCTTGGGTCCCTGCACCCATGTGGGAGACTTGGAGGAAGTTCATAGCTCCTGGCTTCAGATCAATGCAGCTCCAGCCGTTGCAGCCAATTGGGGAGTGAACCACCGGATAGACTACCTCTCTCTCTCTCTCTCCCCCCCTCTCCCTCTCCCTCTCTCTCTCTCTCTCTCTTTCATCTCCTCTCTCTGTGTAACTCTGACTTTCAAGTAAAATACAATAAATCTTTAAGAGTTTGTGGGGGCCGGCGCCGCGGCTCACTAGGCTAATCCTCCGCCTAGCGGCCCGGCACACCGGGTTCTAGTCCCGGTTGGGGTGCCGGATTCTGCCCCGGTTGCCCCTCTTCCAGGCCAGCTCTCTGCTGTGGCCAGGGAGTGCAGTGGAGGATGGCCCAAGTGCTTGGGCCCTGCACCCCATGGGAGACCAGGAAAAGCACCTGGCTCCTGGCTCCTGCCATCGGATCAGTGCGGTGCGCCAGCCGCAGTGCGCTGGCCGCGGCGGCCATTGGAGGGTGAACCAACGGCAAAGGAAGACCTTTCTCTCTCTGTCTCTCTCTCTGTCTACTCTGCCTGTCAAAAAAAAAAAGAGTTTGTGGGAAATGATCTTAAAGATAAGTCAATTTTGGTGCAAAAAGTTTTGAAGTTGAATGGCAATATGTAGATGATAAAGTCTCTCAACTTTTAGGAGGACTAGTGCAAATCTGCAACATTCTCAAATATAAATACTATCTTTAGAAAGAATTTAAGTGTAAGAAAAATGGCAGAATAAGATGGTGTAAGAAGTTATCATATTGACAAAATTGTCTTAATTATAATAAAATATTTTTTTAAAAATTACGTTCACTGTGATTTTTATTCTAGTGCACATTCTTTAACCAGTATAGAATTCATTGACATGCTAATTTTCATATATACTTGTCTTTGGGTTTCCCTTAATATCTTCTTTATATACTTTATTTCATCTGCTGACTTAAAGCAGTAACTTCTTACAGCCTCCTGTCACTGCTCTGATACAGGATGTGCTTTTTGTTATCAGCCCATTGATGAAGGTGGTTCACCACTTCTTGAGAACACATTTATATTACTATTTTATAAATCATTTTATGATCAAATTGTCTTAATATTTACTTCTAAGTTACATACAAATGGTCACAAACAGACTTGTGATTGTTTCTCTTCAATTTTTCAGACTCATGATGGCATAAAAGTGATACATATTCCATAGACAACATACTTCATAACTGAAGCTAGTAATTTCTACAGTGTTGAACAATTTCCCTCATTTGCATTATAGACCAAAATAAAATCAGAGATTCTCTCACTTTCAATCCTCTACTTAAATCCTTCCAAGAGATTCCTATCTCAGAACAGCACTAAAATTTCAATGACATTCAAGGCCTAGCTGGCCTCATCTCCACCTTCTTTCCTGATCTCAGCTCCTATAACCCTCTTGCCTATTCTCCCCACAACTGCTTTTCATGAAATTGGCTAGCTCTCATGAAACTGAAAATGGGAATCTATTGTAACCACAGACAGTTACAATTATATTTGTGGTGGACCCTGAAATGAAAATAATAACCAAATTCTTTGCTAAAATGCTTAAATTAAGAAAATCATAAATACCTGAGAGAAAATTGATTCAAATATAATCGGTAAAATTCACCATATTTGTACCAAATCTGAACTTAATATAAAGGAGCTGCTGTTAAAGAATTAAGTCATAAGAATACATAAATTGAGAGTGAAATAGTTTTACATTTAAATAGAACTGGCATGAATTCAAATAGTACCAACTAGAATACAGAAAAATCTACAGAGGAAAAGTATTATGAGATATCTTATCACTCATCATCAAATTCTAAAATGAACTTTCAAGGTAATCCACTTAATAGAACATCAATTTCAAAATACTCCCTTTAAGCATGAATAATTCCCTTGACTTCATCATGGTCTTAAAATCTGTAATTAGTATAGACAAATATTTTTTGGAGATGACTCTAAGAGCAACAAGGAAAGTAGACAAATTGGGTTATATCAAATACAGAAACATCTACACAACCAAGGAGGCAATCAATCAACAGAATGAAAAACATCCTACAGAATGGAAGAAAATATTTGGAAGCTACTTACCCAACCAAAGATTAATATCCATAATATAAAAAATTCAATAACAAGAACAGCAACAAAACAATCCAGTTAAAAGATGAGTGAAGTAACTGAATGCAGTTCTTCAAGGAAGAAACACAAATAGTCAATAAATAATATCACCAGCCATCAGAGAATTGAAAATCAAAGCTACAATGAACATCACACCTGTTAGAATGGCTAATATCAAAAATGCAGAAGGTGGAGGGAGCCAAGATGGCGGAATAGTGAGGGTGCGCACCGATAGTCCGGGAAAATTTAGTTTAATAAAAGGGGAGTTACGGTAGCCTCAGAAAAAAGAACCAGGAAAATATTGCAGAGGAAACCCTTCTGGATCCAGTGGTCGTGAATCGGAGGACCTACTGGGAGAACAAGG